GCGCGGAAGGCATCTTGTGTGGTGCGGTAAGATTCAGCTAGACCACCAATGTGAATGAGAGATATTGATGATGATAAAGTCAGATAGACAGTATCTTTTGATTGATGGAACTGGATCAATGAGATATTCAGAGACACATGTTCAGAAACGAGGTCGCCGGGGGGTGGCAAATCCCTCGAAGCATGCGGAGCTCCAACTCCTTGTGACCTGCAAACAATGCAAACGGCAGTTTCTCCAACTCCACCTAGGCAGGGCTGAGCGCTCTATAAATAATTGCCTACGTGTAGGTCCACAGGGTCTATGACCATCGATTTGATATTCTTTATAAAATTACTGTATTAGAAAAACTACTGAATCCTACTTTTTTTTTGAACATTGAGGTCTGGTTTGACCTGAGGTCATTATCTTACGACGATCTCAATGATGGACATCTGCCCAGGTGGATATGAATGTGGGACATTTCAACGTAAATGGTTCAATTAAAAGTGATGATGGAAGGGGTATCAAAAGCTGCCAGCAGACCAATAAATCCACGTCATCGAATCTGAAGAAATGCCGGTAGAAGAAGACCAAGCGCGCACTTATCTGCCTTCAAGCAAAACATGGATAGACGCTCCTCATTGCTCTGCCAACCGAATCCGAGTGACAAGTTCTTGTAATCTGGATAAGAAACCACTCGCCGGTTGTCCCTGGGTTGGGAATGTGGAGGTTTCTTGTTCAATCTTCTGATGGTATTGCAGGAATTCATCAACGGTAGATATCACCACTGCGAATCCATTAGGAGCGAGTGAGCTCTTGATTTTGGATCGAGTCTCAGGATCCAAATTGAGTGTAAGTAACAGGACGGCCAGATATCCCACGGCAACATTGTGGTGTACTTCCAAGACCGAATGAGCCTAAGCAGACCCAGTTAGTCCAATGCGTCGGCAAAATGGGAAACAAATATCAAAAGCTTACCGTGGAGATGGAATCGACATGAGTCATGAATAAATGCAACAATTGATCAAGGTAAGGCTTCGAGGAACCAGCAGAGCGAAGAAAAATCGTTCTTGATGCTTCACTCTGTTCAGTAAGATTGATAAGTGCGCCGAGCGCCAATATCACGCTGTCCAGAGAATTATTCGCTTGTCCAAGCGCATCTTCGGTCAAGTCACCAAAGTTCGCAGAGACAATCCGGACTAGCCCCCCAACCATCTCCGAGTTTGCAAATCTATCACAGAAGGAGGGGTTGCTGTTGGTCACATTCAAGATAAGTCGAATGTAAAGGGGTTGTATTTGGCTGACAGTGCCTGACTCCAAGGAGAGCAGGCTATGAAGTTCAGAGAGCGGGCCTAGAATATCCCATTGCTCTTTTGTGAGCGATTCAGCCAATGCAGTAGAAGCTTCCAAGATTGAAAAGCCCATGCACAGTATTTGAGGGCTCTCCGGGTGTAATTTTTCCAATGAAACACAACGATGGCTTTCGGACACGAGCACTTGAACCAAAGGTTTCAGAAGGGATGTGGAGAGACGAGGGTTCTTTCCCTTGGTTTGCATCGTGGAAATCGTCGACCTCAGGCAATACAACGCCAGAGTGCATGGGGACAGTTTCGACGATGCGGTATCGGGAAACAGCACAGCGGATATCTGTGGAATAGTGCTCTGGATTGTATTTTGCAAGTGCCGAGGAAGGCCGCTGGCTTTAGCTCTTGCGGTCACTAGAATATCGTCTTGCATGCCCAATAAGGCAGGCGATGCACTCAGGAGTTTAGGCCATGCGGAAGTTGCAAGAACATAAGACATGTGCCCATCCGATGATCCCAGTGCGTAGGCACAGAAAGCCAGAATAGTGGGGACCACCTGAAGATCCATAGATAGACAATCCACAAGCCTTTTGTCAAAATTGCACTCGACAAACCGCCGTCTGAGACCAGTATCCAGAAGTTTACCACACAGTTGGAGAATTGCATTGCATCGACCCGTCATTGAGTTTTGCGGATCTTCGATATCCTCAAAGATAGATTCGACGGCGCCTCGGTAACGAGCGTTTCCCCCAGCTTGTCTGAGCTCATGAATACTTCGGACAGATCCATCCTCATTGGTATCCTCAATTGGCACGATTAAACGGGCACTGGAAGTAGCCTCGTAATTCAACTGACGTTGGACAGACTGGGAGCGGTGCTTTGGGCCAGAGGGAGCATCGTGCATCGAAAGGTCCTCTGACATAAGCATGTCATCCAAAAAAGAACGCTGGCGGGCATAGGTGACACGGGAACCTCGTAGATGAGATGGCACCGAGGCAGGAGATCCTTGAATTTGGCTTTCGGCAGGACACTCATTCACAGCTGCACTTGGCGAAGCTCGGTTAACGGGGGCTGGATCTCGGGACGGCTGGCTACTAGAGGGACTCTCCGGTGATGTTTCAACCGCTGGAGATGTTTCAACCGTGTGTTCCGTGATCCCGAGCGAATCAATCAGTCTCCTTCGACCAGGGGTGGTGTTCGCTTTAGTGGCATAGCCCTGGTTGACGTTCGGTGAGCTCTTTCGCACGGACTCTCCGTCCCCGAAGCTCTCTTCGGTTGAAATTTCCATTTCATTCTCGAGAGTAGATACCTTGGTCTGGTTCCGCACAGACCTCCTAGCCCTTGAATACGACGTTGACCCCGCGGGGCTTGTCTGCAGATCGGCTTCTGGCTTTTTGGCTAATGGCCACCGACTATTGGGAACCCTCTTCTCCATTTGTGGTGACACCTTACGATCTCTCATTTCTGTCTCACTTGGCTTCACGGATGGTTTAGTCACAGGAACGGCTTTGTTTCCATCGGGGCTATATCGTCTTCGCTTTCTCTGAACCATAGACATATGTTCATCGTCCGAAGAGGGCAAGTCATACACATTAGGTTCCATGATAGGTTTTGATTGCGTAAGACCTTGCGTCGTGGTCATTTTTTCCGATCCAGACGGTTGCTTATCTCCATTCTTGTCGCGCTGTAACCTGGTGTGGAAGGGCCGTGAGAGACGTGACGACTTGGGCAAAGGCATATCTTTAGGAGCTGTTTTAGCGGCAGATGAGCGTACCGGCTTTTCGTTACTCAACGGGGGTTGGCTTTTGGCAGCAGAGCTGTAGGTTACGAGTCGTCGATTGCGAGGGTGTGAGTTCTCCATCTTCGGTTCACAAACCGTGCGAAACCAGATGCGCACGCGTTGTTTGATGAATTCGATGGCGAAATACGTTTCTCAGAGGGCAATCAAGGTATGGCGAGGGGCAATTGGGTTAATGGATTGAGTAAAACGTAGTCGTTTCTTGAAACAGCCATGTCCTTGCGTGTTCAATGAAGCTTACACACGCCCAAAGGGTGTGGCGCAGTCATCAAAGGAGTGACCCCTAGGTGATTGGCAATGAGGCGCGTTGATTACCTAGGCAATTTCCTTTGAGAAGATCGCGTAATAGAATAATTGAGCGCATCCGAGGTCTGGAGGTTTGATTGGGGAGATGATGCAGGTGATAAGAGGCCGAGGGGGGTGAGATGGGGCAGAATCACCCACTGCGGTATAGCTTCCAGATATAGCAAAAAAGATAAGAAAACCCTCTGCTTCCCCGCTCTTGGCTTTGAGACAACTCACTGTCCTTATATACCCCTCTCTGGACTCTTGTCCTTCTACTTTGAGCTACTTGTCTTAGGTGAACTTGCGTATTCCAATCTTTTTTCTCTTTGTTCTAGTCCTACGACCCACATACACACACGCACACACACATCTTTGGACGCAACAAAATCATGGCTAGCAAAACCGAGAGCGGTCCTTCTCCTGCACAGGGCGTTGGTCCTTTGTATCGGCCCGATGGCGAGAAGCCCACTGCGACAGTCTCAAAGGAAGTCTCCTACGAGAATGTGCACGTGCTACCTCAAACACCCCAGTTGATTGCTCTCTTGACGTGAGGACCCATTTTTTGCATGGAAGGTAACCCTAGACTCATGTTCTGTACTACAAATAGGATGATCAGAGATAAGAGAACCTGTCGTGCCGATTTCATCTTCTATTCTAACCGCATCATTCGATTGCTGGTGGAGGAAGGCTTGAACCACCTTCCCGTTGTTGAGCAGTCTATCACTACCCCCGTTGGACGGTCCTACCTCGGTGTCAAATTCGAAGGAAAGATCTGTGGTGTGTCGATCATGCGTGCAGGCGAGGCCATGGAACAAGGATTGCGCGACTGCTGCCGATCTGTTCGCATTGGGAAAATCCTCATCCAGCGGGACGAGGAAACCTGCATGCCCAAACTGTTTTATGATAAGCTCCCTACTGACATTGCCGATCGATGGGTCCTTCTCCTCGACCCCATGTTTGCAACTGGTGAGCTGAGCTTGTTGTACAATTCCCCTTGCCACCCAGCTGATTTTTTTTCCTAGGTGGTTCCGCAACATTGGCCGTCGAGACACTGATCGAGAGAGGCGTCCCTGAACACCGGATCCTATTCCTCAACCTCATTGCCAGTCCGTCTGGCGTTGCTGAGTTTGCGGAGAGATTCCCTAAACTTCGGGTTGTGACCTCCTTCATTGATCAAGGATTGGATGAGAAGAAGTGAGAACATCGTACCCCTTGGATGTTGTGATTGACGTGCTGACTGATTGATAGGTATATTATCCCCGGCCTGGGAGATTTCGGCGACAGATATTACTCTATGTAAAAAGTCATGTTTCCTACCACGTTGATGGTTAAAAGGTCACCTGGAAATTCTGAGAAATTCAGTATTCCATTATCCATCCATTGCTTGGTCTGTTCCAGGTGCCATAAGGCACTTCCACTTCCCATACAAGTCGCCTATTCAGAGTTGACTTGATGGCCGGTAGTGGGGTAGAGGTCTAGATGGGTGAGACGCTTCTTGGGGTTTAGGCTATATGATAAACATATGCAACAAGAATATGCCGCAAGAATATCAAATACCGTGTACATACAAGAATCTCACAACTCGACTATTGTTGATATCGTGCCTTAATGCGCCGTTCGCCGTCATCCCATGATCAGTATTCATCATCATCGTAGCCATCGTCCTGCCCAGTCTCTCCTGATATGCCCTGCTTGCTGATCCCTCTTTGTCCCAAGTGGCTGGAAACCGGTGCATCATACTGATTGGCAGTATCCTTTGCAACTGCATCACATGCATCTACCCAATCTGAATACACATCCACGGGAGCAGAAAGATCTTTAAAGCATTGTGTTAGTCAAACCAGTTACGACTGATGCCTTAGGGTGAATTATCGACTCACAATTGATACCAGTCTGGAACTTTTGACCACAAACTTTGCACGATAGATCGCCAAGGCCGAGCTTCTTGTCTAGCTTGACGACCACAGAGTTCTCATGGTTGCAAAAGAGACAGGAGAATGTGGTAGCAAGAGGCTCCCTCTATATTTCACAGTCAGTGCTGGGTGTAAAGCCTGGCGACTTGTGAATCGTTTACCTTCTTAGGCCCTTGGGGCTTGGAGCTTGACTTCTTGCGCTTGCCCTGTATAAATTAACATCTATCCACGGTCGGGGCGGTCGGGCGAGTCAGGGCAGTCAGGGAAGGGAAATCGATAGCACGTACCATGATTGGCTTAACTTGCGACAAAGTTGAAATATAATAAAAGAAGGGATGAGAGGAAAATTGAAGCAGTGAGGAGCGTTGACTCGCGCGGGAGTAGGCCCGCGGAATGGATGCCAAGGCGACTTGCCTAGTTTGGAGTCGGAACAATAAGTCTCCAGCTTCCGATATGTGATGTCAGTTAGTGGCGATTTCCACGAAGTGATCTACATTATATGAAACAATAGAATGTTGAATGGAAATTTCTATGTTGGCTAATTCGAAACTTTGGAGGACTCGATGCGGATTGGAGGAAAGAGGATTGGTTTTGGCAAATGGCATAAAACCAATCTGATACATAGGCATACAAGTATGTATACACATGTAGAGTGTATAGCATTTAAAACGAACAGTTTTAGCGCGTAGGGCCTATTGTAACAGCCAACGATCTACGGAGTACATTCTTGTAATAATACAACGCAAAGTGATCTGACAAGTATGAATGTTACTGTACTGCAATGCAATGGCCCGACTCACGATGATGACATAATGTGATTACATAATGACAATACAGTGGAACCTTTTTTTTAATGTTCGATCACATGACGATGGTTCATGACATAATCAGCTAGGGCCCGCGCCTCGCTTAGCCGAGTTTTCTGTGGGTTTTCAACCCTCCCAGTCGAGTGTCGAAACCCTCTGAGCGCGCGGTGCGATACCTTTGTCTGTCCTCCAACAACACACAGATAACTCGCAATCATGGCTGTTGGAAAGTAAGCGCCCTACTCTCCATCCTTTTCCTGCTTTCAATTTATCGAATTACTTCCGCATCTACGACATCCATTCAATTCACGAACACGGCTAATCCTCATCGTTCAGGAACAAGCGCCTATCTAAGGGTAAGAAGGGTATCAAGAAGCGCACAGTCGACCCCTTCACTCGCAAGGACGAGTACTCTGTGAAGGTTCGTTCTATTCCTTCCACCGTCCCGTACGCAATGCTAATCGTGTCGACAGGCTCCTTCCACCTTCCAGACTCGCGAGTATGCACACCACCCGAATCGAACATGGCGAATTTAGAGTTGGATTGGCTAACGGAATTATCAGTGTCGGCAAGACTCTGGTCAACCGCACCAGCGGTTTGAAGAACGCCAACGACTCCCTCAAGGGCCGTATCTTCGAGGTCTCCCTCGCCGACCTCCAGAACGATGAGGACCACGCCTTCCGCAAGGTCAAGCTCCGCGTCGACGAGATCCAGGGCAAGAACTGCCTGACCAACTTCCACGGTCTCGACTTCACCACCGACAAGCTCCGTTCTCTTGTCCGCAAGTGGCAGACTCTGATTGAGGCCAACATCACCGTGAAGACTACTGACGACTACCTCCTCCGCCTGTTCGCCATTGCCTTCACCAAGAGACGCCCCAACCAGATCAAGAAGACCACCTACGCCGCTTCGTCCCAGATCCGTGCCATTCGCAAGAAGATGACCGAGATCATTCAGCGCGAGGCTTCCACCTGCACTCTGTCTCAGCTCACCCACAAGCTCATCCCCGAGGTTATTGGACGTGAGATCGAGAAGTCCACCCAGGGCATCTACCCCCTGCAGAATGTTCGTTTTTCCCCCCACAAAACCTGGAGAGTGGCATACGTACGGATTGCTAACACACATGTCTACAGGTCCACATTCGCAAGGTTAAGCTCCTGAAGTCTCCCAAGTTCGACCTCGGTGCTCTCCTGTCTCTGCACGGAGAGTCTGCCACTGATGACAAGGGCCAGAAGGTTGAGCGGGAGTTCAAGGAGACCGTCCTCGAGAATGTTTAAAGGTTATGTCAATGAAGTGGTGTCACGTACTGGTCAGCCTGGGCAAATCATTGTCTTCTGGTCATAGGAAAAGAAAAAAGTTCAAATATGTATGACAGATTTGAACCGGCGTTTAGCTACGCGTAGCCAGTCTCAGACATGATCCCAAAAATTCAAGGGTAGTAGTTCATTCATGTTCAATCCTTTTCAGTTTGCTACCGCGTAGTAGTATGCTTGTTGGGAGCGTGATGCTTAGTCCAGCCCTCGTCCCCGGCGAATGTACCTCATTCGCCCCATAATATATACATACCCGGTTCATTTTCCGTGTGTCTAGTACCAAATGTGGGGAGACAGGTCAGTTCTAGCCCTGTCGTCGGTCTAATTAATCTTGGTCTCAAGTAGAGGATCACCGTCCTGTGTGCTATGGTCCAAAGTTCCTGATATGGATAGATACACTACAGATGGATATAATAACACTGTCAACTGTCATCTATCATTGCGGAGCATCCGAGGTCTTAGGCCTTGAGGACGAAAACAATTGTATTAAAGTGGGTGTAGTATTGAAGCTATTCATTCTTAGTGGATACGTTTGATAGGCTCCTATGCTCCGCTCTCCCGCTAGTGCCGGGAGGTTATGTACGATCTCTGAGAATACATTCTTTTTCATGCTGAGCTCCTTCATAAGCCAAGGATGTAATATGAGACTGGGGAAAGGGGAGATATAATTATAAATATTCAAAGATCAAAATAGCATAGCATTATGTAGTGCTAGTGAAGCTATATCTACTTATATTACGCACAATAGTTAAAGCAATTGTAAACAATATACAATCAGGACCTGGTTGAGCGGACAGAATACGTAATCTCAGAAGGAGAATGCCGATATAAATATGTCATATCAGACTAAGCAACTGTTTACTATGCCTACTGAATCGACATGCTAGTTAACCTCAAAGGTAGGAAGTGAGTGCTTCTTATATAGCATTGGTTGCATAGTTGCTTGGCCTTGAGTCGACAATTCAAAGAAAGAACAAGAAATACATGTCTGTTCTCCTTTCATCAAGACTGTTTGTATATCTCGACGATGTTTAGACGAAATAAGGTTGGTGGAGCCCCCATTAGTCCAACCCCCGCACTCTCTAGGGGTATGAGGTCACGAGTCCTACGGCCCCCTCTCGGATTGCATGATACCTGGTGCTCTCATGTTTCTTGTTTTTCTCATTTCCCATCTCTCCTTGAACACAATTCCTCATCTACCATCACATCAAATATCATCGACACCAGTAAGCATCTACCGTGAAGATATACTTCTATACCTTGGCATCAAACCATACCTATACACTTGCTATCTCAATTCCCTATTGAAAATTCCACTAACCCAACTCCTAGTGACTCGCTCCCACAAAATGAACGATCGCGAACACCAAGTCGAAGGCGCGACGGGACCCCGTGAAAACATCCCACGCTACTTCGCCAAGTCCGGCCCAACTGACGCTGATCCGCGCAAGACAAAGAAGGACGGGGGTGGCAAAGGCAATTGGTAATTCCTGCACGTCAGAATCAAGCGTGTGCAGCTGGCTAATGCTATTTCTCTCGCTACAGGGGCCGATCGGGCGACGAAATGCAAGACACTGACTACTCGTTCGCCAATGCCAGGCGTCGCTCCAACAGCAGCACCCAAGGTCTGGCCGACTTCAACACTAAGTTCGAGGCTATTGACCCAGAGCCGGTGTTCGAGGAAGAGATCCTTGGTGAAGCTGATGTGGCTGCCGGGAATGATAATCCCGTGACCAAGGTCGATACTGTCAGCAGCAACGATAGCGAGGCTGATCGTGAGGGCAGGAAGTATTAAAGAGTCTCGGCTGGCGCTGTGGCGACTTGAGCTTCCGATATTTGGATGGCGAGTAAGTCGAACGTGAACAAGGTAAATTCTAGGGATCATATCGTGACTCCATGACTCGGTGGTTCGGGGAACCAGTATCTATTGCATGGGAGTCTGAGAAAACAAACTAAATCAAACATGACTTTCATATTTCACTAAAAATGAGGGTCATCAAGTACAACGTAGCTTTAGGGCCTTTCTTACTGAAGCTTGAACAATTGAAATATCTCTTGAGATTTCATACATACAACATATTATGACCCATCGGCCACTGGGTAACCGAGTGATAATATTGAAAACGCCGCCATTTCATCCGCCACCCGTGTCAATTGTAGAGAAAATTCAATCATTTGCTCCAGCAATTTCACCGTCAATCATAGGCGGTCTATTTGGGAGGAGATATATGGACCTCAGCAGTTTCCCGGAGGTTTTGGAACCAGAAATCAAGTTTTCCGACATCAATGCACTGGCGCAAAATATCATTCTCGGTCTGAAGATCGGCTGCCACACGAGATTTTTGCTCTGGGCGGAACCGTGACACAAGAATATCGGAATCGGAATCGGTCATCAGAGCCTCCGCGGGTGAGAGAGCTGTGTAAACAGAGTGTGGACCAGCATTTCGAGGTTCTAAATATAGTATGTTGGTTAGCTCGATAGTCCAAGTGCTTATTTTCGGAACAAACTCACCTTCCAAGCATGCAGTTAGTGATCGGTAGAGCGCCGTGTCGGCGACCGAGTTGTGTGTATCGCCATTGGGCCCCTCGGCAGCTTTGCCCCGAGCTACCCAATCATCTTTGATCAAGCACCGTCGCCAGATCAACCTCTGTAGAGCCATGAGGTAGGCGGGGTCTCGCTGGCCATAGCGTCCGTAATCAAGAACCTGCAATGCGAGGTGGAACTCGCTTCGTACAATCTCGCTCTCGCTGTCATCCGCGAGCTGAGTAGGGCCCATCAACGTCAAGATATCAATCAGGCCATCGGCACCGACAACCTGCCTGTCGATCAAGGTAGAGAGAGCGTCGCTCAAGATTTCATGGAGCGATGGCCGATCTTCGAAGATATGTTCTCCATACTGACCGAGAGCTAGTTCAAGTTCTGCCTTTTCGTCAATGGCACCTTGCAGTACAGGCTCAACATACTGATAGAGAATGTCTTGAATTCCATCGACCTCAACGTAATCCTCAAGACGCTTCAAGTCCTCTTGCAAAGTAGAAGCCACAACGGGTGAATCCATTTGCTCCTGCGTCGCTAGTTTGCCTAGCTTGGCTATCGAGATCTCTACACGGTGGCTCCACAAGTCCTTTTCACTGCCAATCGCTAGATTCTCCAATGAGACTGCGGCAGTGTCATAATCGTTTTCACCAATGACATCGTTAATCCAGCTCAGGCGAGAATATGCGGGGTTACTTCGAAGGAATCGAGTGACGGCGGATTGGTATTTCCGCATCGTAAACAGCGTTCCTGGATAGCCCATAGCAATTTGCCGGGAGAAGTATGCATCCGCCCATAGGTCACCAAACTTGTCGAAATACTTGGCGATCAATTGATCCGCATCAATCTCAGTTTGAGTTGTGGAAACGTCAATTGGTGGCTCTGTGCGCGGATTTTGATTTGCCTTTTGATCCTGGAGCTCGATGATTAACTCGACCAATGCTCCCATGTCTCGGAAGCTTTCTGCTAACTCGATGGCATCGGCAAGATGGCCAATACCAGCCAGCTTGAAGAGTTGCCATTTGCGGTCTTCGACGTGGGCCTGCTCAATCGAGACACCTTCATCCATTAGTTTGGGGTCTCCTTGCGCAGAGAGCCACCGAGTTCGCTCGAGATGCATTTGACCGATCACGCGAAGGTGTCGATAGCTGTTTTTCGCAACTTGATTCAAAACATGTGTGTCAGGGGTATCAGCAGCCGATGCGGGTGTTATCCATGACCGGCAACTATCCAGTTCTAAATCGAGTAGATGCCCTGCTTCAGAGTAACCAACAGCTCTTGATGTCCAGAACTCTGGGAGATCTTCATATCCATCAGAAAGCACACCATCCTCCAGGAAGTCTCCATGAAGACCATAAAGTGCAACGTGCTCATCGCGATATCTGAAAGCAGTTTCGGTGACCGCCAGAAAAAGCTCACTGGCCGCCAGGATCTTCTCTGATAATGCGCGCGCAGGGTTGGAGGTGTTGCCTCGACCGGACTTGATTGCGTTCTTGATCCATGGGATGATATGCTCCATGCGGTAAGAATCCCTCAGGAACCATTGACGCACCGGATCAGTCTCTCCGTGTTGGGCATTGATAGGAGTCTTGAATTTATCGTGCATAGATCCAATGACATGACCGAGGAAAGTTTCTTCGTCTCCATTTCTTATCTTGCAGGCCTCTTGAATCTTCCACATAGCTCGTTGTGCTGCAATTTTTTCGGCAGCCCACAGCAACTCCCACTTCGCCGGTCGACTCAAAGGATTCCCTTGGCGTGATAGTAATGAGGCGAGATCATCTAGTGCCTTTGCTCTCAAGCGGAGATTTTGCTCTAGTGAAATAGCAGTAGTGGGAATGAAGCGAGTCTCTGATTGGAGTAGCTCCCTGCAGATTTCCAAAGATGCTTGCTCCATTTCTGATGGAGGGAAGTTCAAGTCTCCCTCGCTGGATAAATTCAACGGATTCTTTGCCATGGTCCCAAAGAAAACCGCCTGCTCAAGCTTGTGCTTTGCAGTGACCTGAGGCTCCTCGACATCTTGTTCTGTGCTAGGACGAGGGAGAACAGTCACACGGATTACACCGAAATTCCGAAGCATAAGCACACATGCTGCGCAAGGCAAATCGTTCAATTGGTCCTCTGAGATGGACCCCAGGATTTCGTGTTCTGTGCCGGAGCGGAAGTGAATGGTATCTTGGAAAGGCAGAGGCAAGTTGTTGGAATCGAGAAGCAGTTGTGAGGATGGAGTCTCTTCGACACTTGTTAAAGACAAAATAACAAGGGACTGGCCAATGAGGATAAAAGCCGTTTCTTCTGGCTTCGGCACAAATAGCTTGGGTTTCGAAGCTTCGAGTTGGGAGACAGGGATATGGCGAACATCCACGGCATGTGTGGACATAACACGAGATTCGTTTCCTGATAGGTGAACTTGAACCACGAATAGCGTCCTAGTTTCTAACCATTGTGGCGACCTGACAACCAGAAAGAGGCGCCAGGACCCATCGGGAAGTTGGACAGCATCGTCGAAAGACTGCAGGGCAGAGAACGCAAAGTCCATGACTTTGAGCTCTGTATCGTTTGTCGGTTGTGCATGATATTCAGGGAGGGCCTCCATAATTTCGTTCTTGAGATCGTATCTTTTTTTGAGGGTGTTCCCGTGGTTCCAATGCGTGTCCCATATCTCAACCAATCCGGTCGAAGTTGCAATAATGATATCTCGCTGGCCGCGTTGATGAGAGCCACCGGCCCGGACCGCAGTAACCTCTTTTCTCCATGACCCGCCTGCGAATACGTTCTTGAGGCCCCCGAAAATTCCACCGCCTCCACCTCCTGCAGTGCTCCTGAGGAAATTCACGACCACTGAAGGCTTTCCCTGGGGGTCCCTTAGAGTAATGTGCGCTACTCGTCCGGACGAGAACGTGATTATCACTCCCGAAGGCTCCCCATTGAGTATTTCCGTGGCATACTCACCGGAAAGCATGCCAGGGGTGGATCCTTGGATGCCATTCTGCTTTTGTCGGGATAAACCCAATGACGCGGCACTGGATACAGTCTCCCAGTAAATGACTTTTCCTGTAGAAGGAATGATCACTAAAAGACCTGGGTGGTCTCCCGTGGCCGTGGATAATAGAACTCCGAGTGGGACGGCACCTTTGGGATCTCTGCAAGACTCCGGAATCGATACCGTGAACGTCTCCGACGGGGACGGGGAAGAAGCGGGCGCAGAATAGGGCCACACGACGGCATGCGAGCGGGTCAAAGCCAATGCGTAGTTATGACCAGTTCCGAAAAAGCACTTGAGGGGTTCTGCGTTCAAAGGGTGAGTGTCAACAAACCGCAACCCAAGGTGAGGAAAAGCTATAGAATTTGAGATACCTGATTGTAAGCCACGAATTTGATCTGGCAAAGAGGGCAGTTGATCGACAGTATAGAAATCTGTGCTTGACTTTGAACCCAGCAAGTTAGCACTTTGGACTTGAGGGTCTGAAGGAACGCGCAAAGATATGAAAGACCCACCAAAACAATTGTCCCCTCGTTATTGTTCCCAGATCCATCGCCTTGTTTCGCACCACGGGCTGATATATGCAAATCGTTCATCAGATCCGTAGGGGTAATGTCATCGTTTGGCGCAGTGGGTGTTGCTAATTTTGCGATCTCACGCCCCAGATTGGTATCGGAAGGGGATTCATCTGGGCGTCGCAGGACAGAGCGCTGCCTCTTGGCCTTTGGTGGTTTGACAGAGTCATCTGAGCTTGTTCGCTGGCGTCGACGAGTATTGCGACCACCGGCTTTTGGGACGAACATTTTCAATGTACGCAACCTGTCGCGAACACACGCTAGCCGACGAAAGCTTCGAAGATTGTTGACCCTTGGGGGTCCGATTCACTCTGCGGTGTTAATTTAAGGTCGGAAATGAGAGAACGAGAGAGATACAGCGAGAAGAAAGCTCTCCTAAGAGGATAGGTTTAAATTGGAGCAAGGTGATAGCAGTGATAGGGTTGGTCAATAACAATCGAGGATGTTTGTCCGAAAGCGGTGAGACAATAACCATATTGTACAGGTCGGTACATGAGTGTGTAAGTTACATACACTATATATTATGGATCTATATACATTTTAGACGGTACTCAGAATGAAAACATATTCTAGATGTATATATCGTATGCGAATAGCCATTTAAATTGACTCTAGAATAACACTTCACATGATTCCAGTCCATTCTGCTCATTGAAATGTGGGGCTCTGTATAGAGCGAATACCATAGCATACATACTTTGCACCAATCTCAATTAGGTATTTAGCTATATTCTATGAAGCTAAAGAACGTAGGTAAGCAGTTTATATTATTGGTTGCTCTCAGAATACGAACAGAATCGGTATATATGAGAACTCCGTAAGCTCCATTGTAGGTCTACCGGTAGAGACATATGCATAACACTTGCCGGTTGGATGTGGAATATTAATTCCGTAGCCGATTACCCCGAAAAAGCTCACGTGAATCCCACATATCACCCCACACGGAGCTCACTGCTCCCTTGGTAAACACCAGGATGGACTCAAGAACAACACTCCCTCGCTCCATGGGATAGCGGATCTCACCCTCGCGACTACGAAATAGCCACAATGCGTATGCGTTGTGTTGATACAGTTAAGATCAAGGCCCCACAGGGTTGCTTAGGGTTGCAACTATAGAGAAGATGCTCTCACGCTTGTCGCATCGCAGAGGTCACCTCCGACTAAGATCCATTGCGCATGTCGCATCGCAAGTTTCACCTACAAATTCCAGAACAACAAACCTTACTATCCTACCCTCCAGACGAGACCTGCACACAGCCCTCTTTTTCCCAGGTTTGTATCGCCCCCACCCCCCTTTGCCCCTGAGCCTCAAACGGCCGCTAATACAAAGCGCATTAGGGCATGGAGTCCAACGGGTTGGCATGGCCAACACCTGGGTTGAACACTTCCCTCACACCGCGTCCAAGGTTCTGGACGAAATGGATAGCACCCTCGGGTTCAAACTGTCCAGCATTATATCCGATGGCCCGAACTCCGAGCTCAACCGAACGGAAAATTCACAGCCTGCAGTCATGGCAATCTCAGTCATGATACTTCGTATTCTGGAGCAGGAGTTTGGATTCGATACTAAATCTCGGGTCGGTGTGACGCTTGGACATAGCCTCGGGGAGTTCTCTGCATTGGTTGCCGGAGGCTATCTTGAATTCGGAGACTCTTTACGATTAGTTCGCCATCGTGCGGAAATGATGGCCGAGTGTACGCGCCAGTTAACCGAGCAATCCGGTGAAACATATGGCATGGTCGCACTTCTCTGTCATCCCGAGCACCTGGAAGGTTTGCTTCACACGGTTCAGCAATTCGTTGGCTCCCAATCACCGGGTATTGAAATCGACGGGGATAATCGCATCTCATCAATTCAACAAGTGGTCGTCGCAAACATCAACTCAAAAAATCAAATCGTACTAAGTGGTAGTATTGAACGAATCAGAATCCTTCTCGTGCAAATGCGTCAGTTTGGAGGTTACGACCCACGGGCTGTCAGATTGAAGAGTAACTGCCCGTTTCATAGCCCTGTTATGGCGCTAGCTGCAGATTATATGAGAGAAGCTGTCGAGAAGATCAACATCACATTCCCGGCACCAATCCCATGCATATCAAATGTTACTGCCTTGCCCTTCCAGTCTAAGGCAGACATTAAAGACCTCCTCTCAAGGCAGTGCACGGACACAGTCAGATGGTGGGATAGCATTCGCTATCTTCATCAGGAACGAGGCGTGAGGCGGTGGATCGGAATTGGACCAGGGAAGGTTGGCAGGAATTTGGTTGGCAAAGAGGTCGGAAGAGTTGACACCAAAGGTGGTGGCGTATGGGCTATTTCCGATCCTCGTGAAATGGCAGAGATCATGGTTGCCCTGGAGCAGACTGAAGCCGAAGCCGAAAATGAAGACTACCAACGCGAATCAGCATGATGACAAAAAGGATCCTATTTTTACTGCCTGTTCTATTATATCCAGAATTTCATGAATTATAGAATTATATGCCATACGGAGTGGAACTCAAAGTAGCTTAATCACAAAGAAATGATATGGCTATTATCCGAACAGCCTGGTGAAATTGTTGCTGTTTGCACGAATGTAAGTTGGGAAGCCTGGTTGACCAAAGCCTTATCTGTATCCTCAAATCCGACATTCGTTCTCTCCCTACAGAGAAGTACCTGGAGCCCACGACTCCCCAATACGTTTAACATCCGCGACGAACTTTTTGTTAGAGATTGGCTGGCAAGCTGACAAAGAAGAAGCTGTATTCCCGGCAATCGGGACGTGATCGTCGGGGGAATAGAATGGATTCTGCAAAAGCTGGATATATGCGCTCTGTAATGCGCGGAATGCCTGTATGAAATAATTAGGGGGTGAAGCACTCGCCAGGCATAGAGGGAAAACACACCGGCTTGACATCAGAATCTCTCAAGCCATTAATCGCAGCGCCTGCTTGTTTTCCAGCGCTGGCCTCTTCCTGACCGAAAAAATCCACAATGATCAATAGTTTTACTCCCGTGGTCGTCAACCATCCATAGGCCGCAAGTCGTTCGTCAATTGCATGTAGTAGACCTAGATCCTGATCAATGGATGTTTGTTTGCAGCGGATGTCGAAGATGTCGAGGCAGGAGTTCAGTAAGAAGGAGAATTCGATCGTAGAATCCGAATACGGGGGAAACAGGGAAATGTGAAGAGGGTTATCCTGCAATCGAGTCAGTATGGACAGTTCCAGACGTGCAAGTTGGCAGAGTGATACGTACTGCCTTCCCAATCACGCCAATGCAGGCAATTTTGGGACCCGCCATTTCTGCGATAGCCCTTGACATGGCAATATATGAGGACTGCGCGCAGTCGCTTGAGCTCTTGTGGTTTAACTAGGGACTGATTCCCTTGTCTTGGGACTGTGATCAGGTGAGAGTTCTAATTTGGGAGGTATTAGCTCTCCATATCATGTCCACAATGCTCTGGAATTGAGCAGCCCTTTTAAGGGGCGATTACTTTGCAGTCAAAGTGTAGAAAGTAGTGGAGTGGTTGTCTCCAATCCCCCACGTACGTTGTATGGGGAAGACGGGTTCAGGCACCCAGGCAGCAAAATGAGCTCAGAGCCAATGACCAGACAGGCAATTGGATTTACGAGCAGCTCACCGCTTTTACCATACCAGGTTCCGTGATTGAAAAATACAGCCGATGGGCCAATGATCTGTGAGGTGATAGCTTACATCATCTCTCTCGAACCGCTGGTATACATCATGTTCTTCCACTGTGGAATCGGAACCTTTTTGGGGTTCTCCTTGTCTTGCAGTTACCCGGCCCGCCACCTCTGCCCTCTTGTAATTCGATATTGCTTGTCGTCACTGGCCGACGCTGCAACCATCTAATCTCTTCAAATCCCGGATCACGACCTCTCATTCTAGCTGTTCATCTCCACCGAAGAGACTTTTCTCAAGATGCTTCCGATGGCGAAGCCCGCCATCTCTGGCGCTCTGTGCGGTAGGACCTTCTTCACCTCATCGACAATGTCAATTCACTAACAGAAAACAGCTGCGCGACCCCGTTTTGTTGCCTCTCTCCCCCGTGCCCAACCTTTGGCGGCCCTCTCGACTTCGTCAACCAAATCAGCGACAGCGCTCGAGCGTCAACCATCAGCAGGCGCCCAGCAATTGACCGCGTCCGGCAAGGCTCGCCGAGAGGTGCCTTTGCCTAGTCAGGAGAAGAAGGAGGGTGCTATGCAATATGCCTTGTTCGTTTGCTCTCTATGGCTTTGATCTTGGATGCGCCTTGGAACTGCCGCTAACCCTATATCACCCAGGACCACCCTCGATCAGATTACCAATTGGGCTCGTCAAAGCTCTTTGTGGCCTATGACCTTCGGTCTTGCATGCTGCGCCGTGGAGATGATGCACCTTTCTACCCCCCGTTACGATCAAGATCGTCTTGGAATCATTTTCCGTGCTTCTCCTCGTCAGTCCGATGTTATGATTGTCGCCGGTACATTGACGAACAAGATGGCCCCTGCTCTCCGCCAGGTTTATGATCAAATGCCCGACCCCCGGTGGGTTATCAGCATGGGCAGTTGTGCCAACGGTGGTGGCTACTACCACTACAGTTACTCGGTCGTTCGAGGCTGTGACCGGGTTGTGCCGGTCGATATCTACGTGCCTGGATGTAAGCATTTCCTCTTCCCTTGCCCTTGTGCTGTTGAACTTGACTAATAAAAACCAAGGCCCACCTACTTCCGAGGCATTGATGTACGGTATCTTCCAGCTGCAGAAGAAGATGCGACACACCAGAATCACACGCATGTGGTACCGCCGTTAGTCTCTTAAAACTAATGATATGGTGGACTGTTTTTTGCCTCTTCGGTCATAGTGCATGGTAAACTTAAGTGACTCAACCTGACCGCCGTGGAGTTTTTATGTGTCTTTTTACTTTGTATATCAATACCAGGCTTTAAAGTTTGATATTTTGTTTTTACTCTCACTTTGATTGGTCTGTTCCCCCTTTTTCCTTGTCTGTCAGAATATCCATTCAAAAGAATTTAAATGAAGTCTCATATACTGGCTTTAATAAACTTACGTGTGTGGCTCTATGTATTGGATTTTAGGCGGTCGCGACTTTCCCGATTGGGTGCCGCTCAGGGTCTCGCCGAGCACCGATGACAGCACAAGGTGACTACCTACATATTAATGAACACCAAGGGTGTTTAGGAATGTTGGAATATTAACGGGAACTAGGAACTAGAGGCGCGCACAATGCTGAGATTAGTTACAAACAGCTCAAGAGTCCTTTTATACCCCAGTCGCATGGGTTTGTGGGCTTTCTGAACAAACCATGCAAATGAGGACATTACTCGCTTGTCTCGCTTACCCAGTATGGAAGGAACATTTCCTTCTGATTTGGGCAGGTACGATCACCGGTCCATCGTTCCTTCCGGGTTCTGGCCTGGCTTCTCCTTTCTTTCCTTCTCTGTGCTTAGACAACGCGTACTTTCCTTGAATGGGCACCTTCCTACTTTCTTGCTCTGTGACTCAATTGTACCTTCCAATGTTCAAGTACAACAAAGCACGTTGTTCTTTCCAAGGTAGAAGTTTACAGACGCCGTCAACTTTATCATCTTGTACCAGGAGAAGACATCAAGCAAAACTGGGTGAGGTATCCAAGGTTAGCCTTTATTTCACCAATAAAACCTCGCCTTTGCTTCTTATGACATTGACCCGTGACGAAAAAGGATGAGAAATTTGGAGGAAAAAAACCCTCTTCCATCTAAGGAATCTATAGTGTTTGGTCATCCCTGGTTAAGTCCTGTACAAGCGTTCATATACGCATAAGAAGAAGGACATCCAAAACACATTGGGATGTTCTTGTATATAACGTCCCTGATATCACCTTGGGCCAAATAGATCAACCTCGTCAATGATAGAGGCCGTATGAGCGGTCGACTATTCTTGCTGTGAAGCCAATCTGAATCTGGTATTAGATGAGCTTGTAGCAATAAAGTATGAGTTTGTAATGGAGGAATTACGAATAAGAACAATGAAACCCGGTAATTGGAAATAAGTCAACTGCTGCAGGTCAAGTAAAATGCGATGTTAGAGATATATATATGTAGTTAACTACATGTTCTTCACAAGAATATACCAAGGTCCACAGTATGGTTGTAGCATAGGTCATGATTTTGACATTATCCCGCAAAGCAATCTGAATTTAATTGTCTCGGTGCCCCAAGGGAATGCAATACAAGCGACAAATAGAGGGGGAAAACCGACGGAGAGGAGGACAGAAAAGAAGAGGGAATCGTATTTCTACTTAGTTAACAGGCTTCTAGCCTGACAACATTTCCAACATAGTATATCTTGACAACGCGTTAAATATGACTTTTCAAGAGGATTGAATCTCACTTCCTAAGTAGGTGCCGGCTTCAAGCCGAAACTGAAAGATCTAACCTGCCAAGGTTCCCAAGACTAGACTTCCAAATTAGGAAGTTAGTTAAAATTTTAACCTTAAAGCTTGATAGTAATATCTGCAGTTACTCAAATGCAAAGTGTTATCGAAAGGCCTCCGGATTTCGCTTGACGTTCCGCGAAGATAAACGTTATTTTTTTAGAAAGTTCTATCTAGCGTTCTAGCCAAGGCCCGAATGAGCTGATCTGCCGTCCGTGCATTTCATGAGGCATAAACTGTACTCCATACCAAGAAGAATGGAGGAGAGATAAGAACTTTGCGGTATTTTTTGACCCAGTGTTTGTTCACCGAAAGCAAAAAAGATGAAAACTGCCCTCAGATAGAGAAGCTCTTGGGTAGAACCGATCAGGTGTGTACTTGCTACATAATACATATTGGTACTTCCCACTATTTGCTCAAATAATATTCATCTACCCATTCAAAAAGCTAGTCGTCTCCGTAGTACTGTAGAAATCAAAACCTCAGACCAACTCCATCCTTTCTTGGGAATACTTGACCGAGACCGCTGTGTCATCCTGGCTTGGCCTGTTTATCATGATCAGAAACGCTTCTCAAGTTTGGTAATATCCATTAGTAAATACTTGTGGGGAAGATTACTAAAACCTACTGAGAATTTGTTATACAATCAGATTGCTTACAATATGTAATACACCTTTTATCTTCCAAAGTTCTAGGCAAATACCCACAGGGAAGAGGGGACCACTGATAAAGGATTGAGTGTGGACCAGACATGGAGTAACTACTCCGTATAGATCTGTCATTTAGTACTAGTAGGGAGCCCGAGTGTAACCGTGCCAAGTCTGCCAAGGATGCCAAGCGCACCGCCGACAGTGTTGGCGCATTTGGCCGGACCGCCCCTTCCAACCTTAGGTTTGTATAGGGCTTTTTAAGCGGACCCAGGAACACAGGGGACACATTCAGAAATATCAATGGGGGACACTATTCCTTGCGATCATGCATTTGATTCTGTGGAGAAACGTTTTGCGGGGGATAACTTGGAGAAAATAAGACACCAATAAGATCACCCGGGGACGCAAGGACGCAAAGGCCCCCAAAGTATATATTCGCACTCTGACTGCTTATGCCTCCACTCTGACCAAAAAGTTACGTGAGTGAAATACTGGCTCGTGGACCTGGCACCCCACAGCTAACTAACTATGTCCTAATCACTAAATCTCCAATATTAGTCTTTACTCGAAGAGGCGAAAGATAGCAGATCGCTTAAAGACTGTGCGTTGGACCCATTTAGTCCCCGCGCACCCCCCGCAACTGCTCCTGGAGTCTGGTCAATTCTCTTCATCTCTGTGTTGTGATTCTCAGTTCGGCCTACAGCAAGATGGGTCACCCCGATGAGATTAACACTATCGAGGCGCAGCCTGAGTACTTTGACAACTCGGGGGATTTCAAAGAAGGTGAACAGGATGAGCCAGTCAAGCTTCGCAGAGAGCTCAAGGCTCGTCACATTTCCATGATTGCCATCGGTGGTGCCATTGGTACTGGATTAGTTGTTGGTACTGGCAGCGCTTTAACGTGAGTTCTCTTTGGATACAGTTGTTTATGGAACACTACTGACTGAAAACTACAGCGCCGGAGTATGTTACATTCGCTTGCTTCATCTTTTGCCGTTGACTAACCATTCCTAATCAGCCTGGATCTTTGCTTATTGCATACTGCTTTATGGGTTACGTTGTCTGGACGGTCATGTGTGGACTGGGTGAAATGGCTGCTTGGCTACCATTGTCCTCCGGCTTCACTGGTTACGCTGGCCGTTTCTGTGACCCTGCTCTTGGATTTACCCTCGGATGGTGGTGAGTAAAACCCCCAAGCTACATACTACTATAAACCGGATATCTAACCATCTCCTAGCTACTACCTCAAATATATCATCCTACCACCTACGCAACTTACCGCCGCTGCTCTAGTCATTACCTATTGGCCGAGAACATCAGCGGAGAATGTCAACCCGGGTGTTTGGATTGCCATCTTCATGGTGGCAATCATTTTGATCAACTGCTTCGGCGTGAAGATTTTCGGCGAAATGGAGTTTTGGCTCTCATCGTTCAAGGTGATTGTCATTCTGGGAATCATTTTGTGCACTTTCATCTTCGCACTTGGTGGTGGTCCCGACCACGATAGGAGAGGTTTCCGATACTGGAATGAACCCGGTGCCTTCGCTACTAAATATACCGAGGGTTCCCTTGGAAAATTCCTCGCTTTTTGGTCGACAATGGTGCAGGCCACCTTTGCATTCCTCGGTATGGACATTCTGTGATTGAACTTTCCGCCTTTCGCATTCTAATTTTCCTTTTTGCTAGGTACCGAACTCATTGGTGTAACTGTCGGAGAGGCTCAGAACCCCCGGAAGACCATCCCCAAAGCTATCAAGCTCACCTTCTGGCGAATTATCGTGTTCTATATTCTCAGCGTGCTCTTCCTCGGTATGCTGGTCCCATACAACTCTCCAGACCTGGTCTTCGCTACCAAGGCCAAGAGCTCTGCTGCCGCCTCACCTTTCGTGGTGGCGATGAAGCAAGTCGCCGCTCTTCCTCACATCATCAACGGCTGTATCTTAGTGTTTGTGTTTTCTGCCGCCAACTCTGATCTGTACATTGCAACTCGGACTCTATACGGTCTTGCCCGTGAGAGGAAGGCCCCTCGAATCTTCGCTCGCACTAACCAAGCTGGTGTCCCAGTCTATGCCCTGGGGCTGTCGGCTTCTTTCTGCTTGCTCGCCTTTATGAGTGTTTCCAATGGCTCCAAGGAGGTATTCGGATACTTCACCGACATGGTGTCAATCTTCGGATGTATGTTCCCTCCCAAAATGGCTCGAAGTGTGTCCAGTATTCTGACCTACTCTCACAGTGTTGACATGGATCTCCCTCTTGATCACCCACATCTTCTTCATTCGCGCCCGACGTGCACAGGGCGTCGACGAGGCAACACTGGCCTACAAAGCTCCCCTGGGAATCACCGGTTCCAGCATTGCGCTCTTTTTCTCAGTCTTGGTGGCCTTCACTCGCAGTTTCGGTGTGTTTATCCACAACCCGGAAAAATACGGCAATTTCGACTACAAGACCTTTATCACTTCATATATCGGAATCCCCCTCTATGTCATGGCATTTGCTGGGTGGAAGATTTGGAAGAGGACTGAGTTTGTCAAGCCCCATAATGCCGATATCTGGACAGGCAAGGCCGAGATTGACCGCGAAGAGGCCGAATATGTGGCTATGATGGCCATTGAGAATCAAAACATGCCTAGATGGAAGAAAATTTACACAGCACTGGTTTGACGGCAAATCGGCTACCGAAAATGGCTACACTGGACGCCGATTTAAGCTTTTTATAGTTATACATTGCTAGAAAATAACATTTGACTGGCTTGAAATATCTTTTCTCTCTTCTACTTGAGCATCAGAATCATTTCTATGAGTTAATTCCCCTCATCGCGAGCCTTTCCGATATCGCATGGGCATCCGCTAGGCGCATTATCTGGCGGCGGGCAAAAGGGAATATCCCCAAGATACTCCTTTCCATAGGGAGCGAGGAAGTCTTACAGTCTGGAGTAAATACTAACTAGGCTATACTAATTGACTACATATTTTTCGCATATAAAGACAAAAAAAAATAGTCGTGCCCGGGATCGAACCGGGAATCTTCTCGGTGTGAGCGAGACGCCATGACCATTAGGCCACACGACTGGAGACGATAAGAAAGTCTATATTTTGGCAAAACGACAAGATTTGTAGATGACCATAAATGGATTTTTATATAGAGTACCGCTGAGCTAGCTAGTTATGTATACAATAATAGATTAACTAAAGTCACTTGTAGCAGCAGTTATAGCCAAGCCATCCCGGGTTTCGGCAGGAGTCCTAGAGGTTGGCGGTTTGTGGCAACGTTACATACGATTACGGAGTATAGACTTACACATGCCTAAGGATGCCTAGAGCATTTGAAGGCTGGAGGCCTAATATCCTTAAGAAGCCGATATCTACTTTTTCCGCTGGGTCGCAATTTATTTTGGACCAATGATAGATATTGAACCAGAACACACGCCGTCTTTCCTCCGCTTCTTCAACCACATACTCCGCATATGTCGACTCGCGATGCAACCCAAGCGTAGCTTTATTTTGCTATATTAGAACTCACCTTGCAGCTTTCAAATTTGTACATTTGTACATTTCATGCACTTGGTAACAACTAGTTCACTATGTACTCCGTAATCTGTCAATAATCTTCAATACTTCCTCCAGGTTGACAATGTATACTCTCATCGCTCCACCAAGCGGTACAAGCTTAAACCCTTCCGTCTCCCATTACTGGGACTGTCGACTCAAAGGACAACCCCCCAGAACCCCCAAATCCGACGATCCAGAAAAGAACATTCTGGCTTATCTCAAGCGTGTTGGTGACCGGCCTGCTTGTGGTGAAGATTTCCTACCTATTCTTGGTGCTAAAGCCGCGGGCAGTCTGCTTTCCCTTATTAGAACCCAAGTTACTGTCGCAGTTTGTATACTCCGTAGTTATTACTCCTATAGATCAACTCTAATAAATTATGCACTTTATGTTGTAGTTTATTATAGAATACAAACTATGGAAGATATAAGCTCGCAAGATATAGAAAGGCTTACACTTTCAGGGCGATAGGCACCAATTAGTACGAAGATAGAATGGATCAAGACAAAATATCATTCATATACAAAGACAAAAAAATAGTCGTGCCCGGGATCGAACCGGGAATCTTCTCGGTGTGAGCGAGACGCCATGACCATTAGGCCACACGACTGGAGACGATAATTAAAAGCTATCTTTACCATTATGAGAGAAAGCTACCCCAATTCCTATTTTTAGTAAAAATTGTATCTTTTTCCTCTGCTTCCCCTTTCCTTTCCTTCATATACTCATAAATAAAATCAAAGATTAATAATCAAGTCGTGTGGCCTAATGGTCATGGCGTCTCGCTCACACCGAGAAGATTCCCGGTTCGATCCCGGGCACGACTATTTTTTTGATCTAGCTAGTTGTTGCAGGAGTGTATTTTACTTTACGTTACATTAAGGAGAACCTACTCCGTAGTAAAAAGACTGGTCCATGGGTAGATAGGATGAATGGCATTTAGCATGAACCCATAACCCCTCGTCTGTCTTTTGGGAAGGACCTTTAGCGCGGTTTGATTAGTGTATTAGACCAACCAATGTGCCACGAGATTGAGATCCACTAGGATATCAGTGCAGTAGCGCGCTCCACAGGTTGGTAAGTCATCAGCGCGTGGCCTTTTTGAGCGCGTTTCTATAACATATAGAAACATTACCTACTAACCTACCTGCCTGCCTGCCCGCCATGCCTCCCAAGGGTACCAAGTGCAAGCTTGACGAACATATTGTGGAATCACCACAGCTCCAGCTACCTAGTGGGCTCGATATCGATAGCCCATCCGCGCTTTTCTCTCTATTTGTTAGCGACGATATCTTCGAATTCATTAGCCAGTCAACCAATGAATACGCCCGGCGAAGACAAGCAGAATGAACCGAATCTAACCCTGCCCGGGCCCGGACGGATACTACTATAGCAGATATCAAGGCCTTCTTTGGTATTCTAGTATATATGAGTCTTCACCAATCTCCACGTGTTGACCACTACTGGCGGCGGGATATTCAGAAAGGGCCAGTGCATCTTCCTCCTCTTTATATGACGCTGAAGCGCTTTGAGCAGATCAAGCGTTTTATACATATCTCTCGGCCAAACGGTCAGCAGCAGGCTCAACCACAGGATAAACTTTGGTGGTATAAGCTAGAACCTCTAGCTTCTTCATTCGAGAAACCCGCCCAGCAGTACTACCAGCCAGGGGTTCAATATCTCTATTGATGATGAGACTGAGGTTCGCTGTTTTGGCCGTACGAAGCATACTGTCAAGATGCCACTTGCTTTTCTACCACCTCCGCCACCATGTTTTCCGCAAATATATTATGTGCAGTCATCTGATGTGCGGTCATCTGATCTGCAACCACCTGATCTGCAACCGCCTGCTCTGCAACCACCTGCAGATGAGATTCCTGAGAAGACGTCGTTCCCACTACTTTTTTCTTTCTTGATGCAGCAATTGTTAATGCTCATCGCATTCAAAATGTCTATAAGCAGCAGCGACAGGCTAAGAAGAAGGGCCAAACAGATTTTCGCTACGGGCTATATCAAGAACTCTGTCAATTTGCAGCCGAATCGCCACAAACACAATCACGAGTCCGACCTCTACCAAACCAGCAAATTGAGGTTAAATATCACCGGCGAAGTATCCTAGATAGGCGAATGCCTTGTGTGTGGTGTCAGTTTAAGAGAGAGAAAGGCAAAAGGGGTGAACAAGCTCCACGATGGAGGTCTGGTTGTAGAGAGTATGGGATAGCGATATGTTTGAAAACACATTGTTGGGAGGAATTCCATAGCAACTAATTCTGGTTACCGAGATGTTAATGGCCTAACCAAGTATATATCTCGATATTCCAACCATATCTCTATAATCTGATTTTAGTATATCTCAGTGCAAGTAACTAGACTCAGCTTTCGTTGATCATAGAAAGTTGCAGCGTCGGTCAATTACTAATACAAGAATTTGTGGTGGTTCGGTAATAAAATAATCCGTGCCGGTGATCGTACCTCCTCCGGACTTACCTTGACGCACCGGCTCAATTTAAAGGCTTGCTACGGACTCTTGACGGATTTCAGGGATTTCAGTCAGTAAGTCAAATGACTCGGGGGCATAGAAAAAATTCTGGCTCTTACAACCTCGTGGCGTTAGTGTGTCAATGGGCTGATATTAAATCATAGGTCAGAGTCTTTTCACCATGACTCGCGGTTTCGTGAATGCCGCCAAGGCGACAAACAATGCCATCTCTATCAAGCAGGTCGGTCATATCGACAGAAATTAGGAGACCAACCTATACGGTCGTGCGCTAGGTGCTGATCCTCTTTGCGCTCTAGAAATACACAGTCCAGTCCGTCGGCGTCTGGGAGCGCATTCGTCGCCTTCTCGCTGTCGACCCCGAACGCTCCACCGGTATCCCCCTGAACGCTCAATTCCGTAATCCCACCCCGGGATCTTTGCCCCCTCTTGCCTACGATGACCCAGTCACCATCCCCGCGGGCGATATTGCCGACAACCCCTACTGGAAGCGGGACGTTCGGAGGAGCTACCCTCAGCTGAGCACTGTGCGCCAGGCCGACGCAGTTGGTCTGCTCACAGTTGGAAGCAAGGCCGCTCCCAAGGACGACGTTCTCAAGATCGGAGAGGCTGGAGCGCAGCAATTGGTTGCTGTCAAGGAGCAGGGCGAAGAAGGTGGCCTCGCGGCTCTCTTTGCGCAAGATAAGAAGAGCATTCAGAGCGTGTTGGGTGCCAACGGCTTGCCTCCCAGCCCTTGCAATATCAACACTGCCGCGAAGGCTTCACAATCTAAGTATGAGCTTGGTACAGAGAACGGCTACCCCGACAAGTATGCATTTCCAATTCTCCATTCTATCGCTCTAGGCTAATCAGTTACTACAGATATTCCTGCCGTGTCTTTGTTTGATTAGCCAGCACATTCTGCAAGGAAATACATTTTCATTTCGTTATCGTTTTCATGAGTTCCTAGCGGCCATTGCAAGTTCTGCAAGTAATAGCTATAAATAAATACCCGAGGTGCCCACTTTTTGTGTTATTGACAATGAGCACTGGTGGTTCATACACCCGAAGGCTCCGCAGGACTGTTAGGTAGTAGAAGAGGGTGGCTGTAGTCGGACTAGACCCAGCCTTTGTCCCCGCTCGGCTTGAAAGATCCCCGGATAACGCAATCGAGTCTTGGGATTAGATGAATTGAAATAGAAAGATGAAATTGAAATCGAGTCGAACGATCCGGATATCTAGATTTGGGTATTGTGCAATATGTTAATGTATTGCGAGCTTGCCAGCTTGCCAATCGCCCCTTGATCTACATGCATGTCCGGACCTGGCGATGGTACCTAGAAGGTGGATAAATCATACAGGAGCCCAGCATTGACGATATTTACTACCTAGTACTAGCCGGTTGAAGCTGGTTTCGAATTCCAAGTTCTTCTAGCAAGTTCAGTTAATTGAGGGATTCTAGACGGCGATCTATAGTGATGCACCCCAACACTCCGCAACGACGTCCAAGGATTCGCCTACAGCCATAGAACGGATTAATTAATTTCCCCACAAGGTAGCTCATCTGAACTTATGATCCATCGCCCTTGATTTCCTCTAGCGAAATCTTGGTTATAGCTAACCCCGTATGCGAGTTGACGTCATTGGCCCTCGGCATCCTACAGTTGCGTTGAATCATGACGACGTCACCTCCAAACCCTGGTTGCAGAAACGCCCTCTCTCAGTACTTAAAGTACTTTAACTCTTCTAATTCACTTGTCACTCTACATCCACCACTCATAACACATTCAAAATGACTACCCTGCACTGTGAGTTGATAACCTAATCATCCTCAGGACTGTACTCGGAAACTAACAACCTCTACCAATATAGATCTCCCTCCCGTGAAGCCCTCCGCCATTGCGCTGGGTACAATCTTCACCCACACTGCCTCCCTGGGCATCTTAGCCCCCGTCTTCGGTGACACCTACCACCGCGCTCAAGCCGCCAACTCCAAGGAGGAATTCATCAAGTCCAAGGAAGCTGCCGGCGCAGCTGCAGCCTGGGGAAGCTCCCTCGTTGGAAGTGCCGTACAGACCTACGGTGTGGCTGCACTGATCAATGCCACCGGCACACTGAGCTACAAGGGTGCTGCGTACCTTGGTTCCCTTATTTTCTTCGCAAGCTCCGCTCCAGGCGTACGTTCTCACTTCATCCTCCTTTATAACCCCAAGCAAGTTCTCTAACATATATATATACACAGATTGTGAGCCAGCTCTTCTCTGAGAAGCGACCCCTCGATACAGTCGCTGTCGGTGCGGTCTCGAGGGTGTTCGAGACTGTTGGACTCAGTTTGTTCCTTACCTGGTGGGGAACACGTACTCACCCATTCGAGTAAATGATAGGAAATTGTGAGATGACAGACCATGTAACAAACTGGCTGTGATCATATGTACTTGTCGAGCTTGCGCTTAACTAGTTAATGCATGTAAATGTACACGAATATGACATCGATGTGTCCAATTTTACTTTATACTGCCGTTACGCATGCTAGACTTAGCTTTTATAAGACCAAGCAAGTTCAAAGCCTGGATGCAACGTTATGGGGGGGTATCCCAACCCTGTCCTCTGGTAGGTAGATGTAGATCCATATTTCAAGGTTATCGAGATATTAATAAAACCCACATGGATCGCCAAGTTCCAATAAGAGTCCCCACGCAAGCTTCATAACTTTGGTACCTTTGTTTATATATGGGCATATATTTAGATATACACAGTCCCTATATCTCAGAAGTCACTTACAGCCCTCAATGTCCTAGCATGTCAATAAGAACACACAACATAAATATCAATATGATATAGATCGACGTTCGCACGGGCATAAGCTTGTCTTGGCTGGATCCGGTGCATATACAATGCATATGACAGACGATATAAACCTGCACCAAAAAAAACAAAAAACTACAATTTCATTCTTCTAATCGATTTCTTTTATTCGATCTATATTAATAGCCAAATCGCCACTCAACCAATCATGTGATCCTCCTAGGTCTAATTTGCGATAAGCTACTCCGTACAGATCCATCCCCCACTAAAACTTCCTCCGATCAACAGTCAACAATTCACAAATTTCTCACAATGATAGAAATACCCATGCCAACTCTTCCGGGTCTTCCAGAACTGAGCCCGCCCTCAAGCCCAGACGGACTCAAAATCAGCGAATCCCTGGCCCCTCCCCGCGAACCCAAAGCCGCAGTGACCACAGACATCTCCTTCGACGGACTCCTCAAAGAACCATTGCTACTAAAAGAAGACCTGAAAGACGGCTGCGGCGGCCAACTATGGCCCGCAGGAATGGTCCTGGCCAAATACCTCCTCAGCCGCCATGTCACCGATCTCTCCGATAAAACAATGTGGGTGCTGCTTTGCTTGCTGTGTGCCCAACCGGCCGGGAGCATTATTTCCATCCACTTCTTCGCTCATTTCGTCCTAATCCAATCTTGAATAGCGTGGAACTCGGCGCTGGAGGTGGACTTGTCGGACTCGCCGTGGCACGCGGGTGTGTCCTCGAGCACCCGATCTATATCACAGACCAAGAGCCTATGTTTTCCCTAATGAAGTCCAACATTCAACTAAACAATCTTGGCCCGAATGCGACAGCTGCGATACTAAACTGGGGAGAACCGATCCCAAACCAGATTCCTCAGAAACCAGATGTCATCATCGCGGCAGACTGTGTCTATTTTGAGCCGGCTTTCCCGCTCTTGATCACTACGCTCCAGGACCTCCTGGGACCTGACTCGGTCTGTTACTTTTGTTACAAGCGTCGCAGACGGGCTGACATGCGGTTCATGAAGATGGCGAAAAGGGCTTTCGAAATGGAGCCAGTCCGGGATGATCCTGGTGCTGAAAGCTATAATAGAGAGAACATATTTCTCTACACGATACGTGCCAAACGTATCGACTAGAAAAGTGACACAAAATGATGATATGTGCAATGCTAGAAAATAGATTTTATGTAGAAGAAATATGACTCCTGAATAGTACATACTGGCCCTTAAAAATACTCCTCACAATTTCAGATTGTCGCCTCTGTTTTTGGTGCCCTCGTGGACAGAGCCACCCTCGATATTCGTCATACGGCCGTCCTTGCCAATGACCTTGACTCCTCCCTTCTTGAGATCTGAAATCATCTGTTGCTTCTCGGCTGCCTTGCCAGGCTTTTCCTGAGTGGGTTTGCCAGCATCGGCCTTCTTTTGGGTTTGCTTATTCTGGCGTCTGTTCTTGGCCTTCTGCTCACGGGTCATCTCCTCCTTGGAGATAGGCGCGCCGGTCTTAAGGACCACCTCTCCCTTGACTCGGCCATTATCGCCAGGTGTGTAGATCTCCTGCGGTGCAAGTCCAACAGGGCCACCGGCAGCACTGCCAGCCGTTGGGCGTGCCTCCTCCATCATAATCGTTGGCGCATCAGTCACGACGTTGATGCTTGCTTGGGCAACCTTAGGCTTGTAGTGCCAGTTGCATAGCGTATCCAATTGAGCGCTGACCTCGTTCCAAAGACTGGTGATCTCGGCATGTTCCCGCATCAACTTGCGGTCCTTAGTATCCACAAAGTTGGGATCATTAGCGCGAAGATGGTCAGTCTCATACATCTCGGCCAGACCTTGCTGTGGCTTCGTATCATCCAGTTCGAAGCGGGGCTTCCTTCCGGCTTGCTGGCCCTCGGCGCCTGGCCGACGGCGGACGACTTCATCGAACTCCATGGCGAGAATTCGGCGCTTGATTAGTTCTTCGATATCCTCGGTGGTCTCATTGGTATTGACGGGAACCGGTTTTCCGATTCGTTCAAAGTCAAGGTCTTCTTCAATGAGAGAATTGATGGGTCGCTCGACAGCTCTGGCCTCACCAGTATACATCCATTCTTTCTTGGCCACGTTCGCCGCCTCCAGACGACGAATTTCATCTGCGATCCGTGCTCTTTGTTTTTCATGTGTTGAGCGAGGGGCAGTAGGGTCCGCAGATCCGTCAATATCCTCCTCTTCTTCGTCGGAGCCCGCATCGGCATCGTCAAACAAGTCCCGTCGAACGTCGTCCATAGCGCGTTTGACGTCACTCTCATCGACCTCCGGTGCGTCGGGTTGGGTTTTCGGGAGGGCGCGGTGTTTCTTGTTGGAGGCTTTGCGGGGTGGAGGTGCGAAGAAATCGGCGTATTTGATATCACTGGTGTTTACCCAGGCAGCGGCTTCACCGTCGTCCATGTCCGCGACGTCTTCGTCATCAGAATCGGAGTCGCCGTTGAGATCGGCATTACCGAAAGTCGGCCCTTCCTCCTCACTATCATCCATGCTTTCGTCTTCTTTTTCTGTTGGGCGTGAATCCTTCGATTTACTGATGGTCGCAGAATTTCCAGCCATCAACGGATTAGAATGCCAGTCGAGATCCTCCTCGTCGCTGTCCTCGGCCTGCTCGGGTCCTCCTGCGGCATCCTGTCTCTCCAAAGCCTCGGACTGTTTGTTGAAGTCGTCGATAGAGAAGAACCCGTCGTTTAATCCAAATCGATCCTCGACAAATACTTCGGGCTCCCCTTCGGCGGAGCCAACTGAGGAATTATCATCGTCCATATCTTCAATGTCTTCCATGTCATCGTCAGATCCCATATCGACCTCTTGCTCTTCGTCAGATTCTTCGTCGAGATCGTCTTCGGCGCCTGAGCCCTCGGAGAGATCTTCAAGCATACTCTCGTGGCTGTCGCTGTCACTTTGCGCACCCTCGGGGTCAGAGATATCCTCGAGCTGCTCGGAGTCAGCCGACTCCATGTAGCCGGTATGTTGAGTAATCAAAGTGATATCGCGCTCGATCTCGTCACCAGTCGACTCGAGAATTCGTGTTGCTTGCTCCCATATTTGATTCGAGGTGAAACCCTCTACGTAGAGGTTCTTCAATTGGAGCTGTGTGACTGAATCCGGTTCGAGGTCTGACCTTTTGCGCTTTTTATTGAGTTGCCGGCGAGTTGTCTGGGCGTCCACGACAGAGCCAGCGAGGGAGTCCAAGATGTGCTTCGCAGAATCCACGACGGTTGTATGTAAATCGTTCGTAGGACGGAGGAACCCCCATGGAGAGGATAGAGCGGACGAAAGAGTCATCTGCTGAGGGATTTTGGCGGTACTAGCCGACACGGACTTGGATTTGGGTTGCCCTTTCGCCATTGTGAAAAGAGCCAGGCAATTTGTTGGAATACCAAGAGTCTCGAGAAGCGGAAAGCGCAATAGAAAAAATTATCGCCGGGCGGACGCCCACGAGCCAATCATGTTGCTGGTTGATAAGATAAGGATTTCCAGTATATTTCAACTACAACATGAGGACAACTACAATAGAACACCTGCTACCATTCTCTATACTGATCTACTATAGCTTCCTTATGGCGGAATCAATTAATATTTGAAAGGAATATCAAGACCGCAATTATTGCGCTAAATCCGTTTGAAACGACTCATATATACCTGCTCAGCATTCATAGGTGTATAGAGCTTGGTCAATATTTCCCTATGATCTTTCTTGCTTTCTCCCAACGACCAAAAAGGAGAAATGTATTATGTTATTCCTATACGAAATAGTAGGGCTTGTTGTATTCGAGCCGCCTATGTGAAGAGCGCCACCAACTAAGCATGGTAGGTAGGAATGACGGCAAGTCTCCGTCATACGCACCTGCCTAACCTCGACCACAAACATAGCAGCTCAGGGATATCAAGATGGGATAGAGAAGTACCATTTAGGAATCAAACACTTCGTCCGATTGGACATACAGGTCGTCCCTGGGATGGGAAACTTGTGGCTACGATTGAAGGATCGAATAGTTCAACATGATCGATTAAACCACCGCCACAAAAAAGGTCTAGAACAGAGATCCTCTGGTTGTCTCATAACATCTAAGTTATATATCGCCCCAGTATAGGCAAAATTTGGAACAAACGGGGTGTAAGCAGGCCATCATAGTGACATTGATATGCCCGGCTTTGGTTATTGGTGGCCATATATCACTTTTACTTAAATGGTGCTTTCCTGCATGGAGATGTGTACTCTATTCACAAATTTACATAAGTTATCCATCAATCTTGTTCATATTCTTGCGTAAACCTTCCAATATGCCTGTTGGCCAGTATATCGAGCGAGAGGCCAGTGGGGCTAAGTCCCAATTTGCGCCAGGTGAGTACGTGTGGTTTGTGTGCACTATTGATTCCTGACACGGTGCTTCATATAGGCCACAAGATTCCTATTCAGCACCTGACAAGGCCGGGTCTGCAGTCTGACATGGGAGATCCTAAGCCTGTGTCTGCTCATCTTCCTACCGAGGATGGCGGCTACCAGACCTACAAGGCCGCTGGAAAGCTCGAAGGAAAGAGAGCAATCATTACCGGCGGTGACTCTGGCATTGGCCGGGCAGTTGCAATCCTATTTGCAATGGAGGGTGCGTCAAGTTTCATCGTCTACTTGCCAGTCGAGGAGTCGGATGCGCAAGAGACAAAGAGGAGAGTCGAAGAATGTGGACAGAAGTGCTATACTCTCGCTATCGACGTTCGCAAGAAGGAGAACTGTCAAAAGATCATCAACGAGGCCCTGGAAAAGATGGGTGGCATTGATATTCTTGTGAACAATGCCGCGTTCCAAAACATGCTGAGCGATATCAGCGAGGTCACTGAGTGAGTTGCCCTACCATATTACTGCTCTTCGGTCGTTGCATCCTACTAATGAACCAACAGAGACCAGTGGCAGACCACCTTTGACACCAATATTCACCCCTTCTATTATCTTTCCAAGTATGTTCTTCCGCATATGAAGCGGGGAGCTACCATCATCAATTGCGCATCCGTCAATCCTTATATTGGCCGAGCGGATCTCCTGGATTACACCTCCAGCAAAGGAGCAATTGTCGCATTTACCCGCGCCTTGTCGAACCAGCAGGTGAAGAAAGGCATTCGGGTCAATTGTGTCTGCCCGGGTCCAAGTAGGTCCTTCCTATATCTATTCCAAGTCAAATGCTAATAAGACAAGTCTGGACGCCCCTGATTCCTGCGACAATGCAAACCGAGGCCATGGAACAATTCCATGCAGTGCCGATTGGTCGACCCGGACAACCTAGCGAGGTCGCAACGTGCTTCGTTTTCCTCGCAAGCCAGGACAGCAGCTATATTTCCGGACAATGTTTGCACCCCAACGGAGGTGTCATCGTCAGTGGATAGGGGAAGTTGCAAGAAATCATGTGTGCTGTACCAGTATCTCAAACTGAATAGATTGGAATCCACAGCAATTCAAAAACAACCTGACAGCCCTAATAATCTACGCCAAACACGTACACCGAGACAAATAAACCACCATAGACGGTGCCATACATGCAATATCTGGTATCTTAGTGTCGCTTTTTGTGTGATTGTGACGACATCACTCGAGTTGAATCACTCTGCTTTATCACCTTCCTCCTTGGTACCTTCACCTTTCTCCTTGGTGTCTTCACCTTCCTCCTTGGTATCTTCACCGGTCTTTTTGGCATCTTCACCGTTCTCCTTGGTATCTTCCACGCTAGACCAGTGGGCAACAATCCTCTGGACAGCGTCCACAGTCGCATCTGGGCCACCGGCCTCGCGAAGCAAGACCTTACCCTTCTTATCCACAGCAAAGACACCTCGCATGGTACCCTTGGGGTTTTTCTTGAACCCAATGGCTGCAATAAGAGAAGCCTTGGGGTCACACAAGAGTGGATAAGGTAGGTTTTGTCTTGTCTTGAACGTGGTGTTGGCCTTGGGGGAATCACTTGAAAGACCGTAGATCAAAAGACCAGTAGAAGTCAAGTGGGTGTAGTTGTCACGGAACAAGCAAGCTTGCTTGGTACCTAGATGAAGCGGCGTAAGCAGTCTGCTGGAGTAAGATGATTACAAAGTACGACATGAACACAGCTCTGCCCTCTCAAGAGAAG